CCCCCCCCCCCCCCCCCCCCCCCCCCCACCATTGGTCCATTCCAAAAGCTGTTTGCTGCCCTACATATGGAGAGCAGCATTAGGCCCCTTCCTGCCGGCGCTGTGCCTCTCTTTGGTACGGGCAGAAACCTCAACACTTTTAAGCCCCTTCAAGTGAGATCAAGAGGAAAAGGATGATTTAAAACACAGATGAATAAACTTAAGTGGTCACTGAATCCAGAGGAGACGGGAACCGAGCTGTGATCTTGGGTCCTGTTGGCAGGCTCGACACTGGCTGAGGCCTCTTCAAAGACGCCCAAATCCAACTCACCAGCCATGAGACCCAGGGGGGGAGCCAGTAGCCTACTATAGCTTGCTATCACAGACTTACACGTATTGGTGCGTGTGTGATTATATACGTGTATGTACTTTGTTATAGTATATATACGTCGTGGTGTGTGAGGTCAGGCTACTCTAATGGCTCCAAATAATAATCTGTTCTGTGGCACTGAAACCATTTATGCTGATTTGTCATTATTCCCTCTAGAATACTATTTCAGATTTAAACAATGTTTTCACTTGATTTATTATTCAACTTCCATTTACGTCCAAAGTCAACATGACTATGAGGAGGTTAGAATATCTTCCAGTACACAGTGTTAGTCGCTCTGCGGTATATTTGTCAGCCTCAAGCTCTCACCCTCGAAAACCAACACCAGCCTGCTCTGAAATAGGATTTGTGTTTCCTGGGTTATTGAAACCAGTGAACCAAAGGCCCTTTGAGGGTTTAACATATTTTCCACCAATGGGAGAGATGGAACACCAGTGTTTTTTGGCAATTAAACACCTCACCAAAGAAGAACTTTAACTTTGCAGGACCACACAGTCAAAGTCTGGAATACTGTTCCTTATCTTGAGCAGAGAACAAAAGTCATATGGTGTCACACATCCCTTGTGTATTCCCAAACCATTTACCTTTCTTCCAGAGAATTTTCACTTTAATGGATTACAATTCTTGGAAGTGTATACATATCTATAACGTTTTATGTCTTTGTTCATTTCTTTCCCATTGTATTTTCCTTTTAATTGTCCAGGATTGTTGAGGTTGAAAGGTAGAAAAGAGGGGACGTTCAGTAATGTAAACTCCCTCATAGCTAGCAGATAGTTAGCTGGACCTGTTTGTTAAATGCTTTGTCTTCTGAATGCACTGACAAACGAATAGGCCCGGGGAAGAGAAGGTAAGGGCACTCTGGAGTTAGCCAAAGCAATATCCTGAATGTGACTTTATCTCCCCCCCCCATCTTCCTCTCACAGACTGGGCTTACTGTGGATATTTGGTTATTCAGCCTTCTCCCCTTGACCCAGCACTAATAAATACAAGCTACGAAACTTGTATAGAGGCCTTTCTTATGACTACCTTCTCCGCTTCCTATTTTCTGATCCCTCTTTCACATGGTGTTGGCCAAACTAAGACATCAACATCTCCTTGCATCCAGGGAGTCATTTATGAGGTGCTGACAGTCTGAAGGGAGGCAACAGAAAGAGAGTTTTACCAGCAGAAGCTAAGTTAGTTGGACTATTGGACACAACATCTACCCCTAAAAGCAATACTGTTGAACTACAGTCTTTCCTACATGTTGGAACATTGTTTTATTTAGTTTTACCCTCAGCTTTCTCAGCTATAGAGCAGTACTAACACTCATTACCCCCC